TGCATCATTATTACCGGTTGATGATGAAGCTTTTCGCTTCAAATATTTTTCCATAATGAATGAGAATCGTAGATCTAAGTAATGAAAACAATGATAATTAATCAGTAATGACATTGAGTGATTGAGACAATTAGTAAATTTAATCAACATATGAAATGAATTATGAAAATTGAAAACAGAAAACTAAAGCAGTGAAGCAGTCTGCAGTGAAGGCTTGAACTTGAAGCAGTGAACTAGCTGTGAAGCCTCAATGCCTCAAATCAAATCAAATGCTCAAGCCTCTTCAAAGCAAATGCTGCAGCCTCAAATCAAATGCTCAACAGCTCAAGCCTGAAGCAGTGAAGCGAGCCTCATCTCAATGTCTCAATCAATTATTCAATTTCATCAACAAGAATTCAAGAGTAAAACACTAAAATCAAATGTAAACCTAATCGGCTAAACCTTAATCAAGTAAATAATCAACTAAAACTAAAAATGTATACCTAAAGGCTAAACCTAAATACCTAATGAATCGTCCGAGTTTGAGTGAGATAAGCTTTCTGATTTATGAATTGTGAATCGTCCGGGTCTTCAAAATCGTTCCAAAATCGAATCGATTCTTCTTGTTGACAGTGTCCTTGGTGGTGGCCCTCCCTCTGTCGGCTGTCGGTACTCGGTCGCTACGCAAATCTGCAATCGTTGGTCACCTGGTCGCTGTCGCTCACTCGCTCGTTCGTTCACAGACTCGGCTACTCGCTCTCGTCTCGTTCTCTTCTCGTCTGTCTGCCAGGTTGCACAAGAAAATGAAGAAATTGGGCTTAATCTGTTAATCATAAGAAATGAAAAGCCCAAGATGAGGAATAGAGGAGGTAATGGTTTGTAACTTTGTATATTTGATTTGGGCTTAATCATATAATTGGGCTTTGCATTTTATTAATGTTAATCAATTAATTGGACTTTGCATTTTATTAAGTTAGACAATTGGGCTTTATTTTGTTTGGGTTTTAAATTTTAATTGCTATGTTTGAATACGGTAGCACCTTTCAAAATAATACGGTAGCACCTTCCAAAATAATATGGTAGCACCGTTGAGAAACCTAAAAATTTTACCCTTCGGAGGCGAAATAATACGGTGGCACGTGCCACCGTATGCTCCCATACAGGTCCGCCCTTGGGGTTAATGGTTTCTTCTCCAAATGCTTAGCCACACTAAAGCTGCACTTTTTGAGTTTGACAGGTTTGAGTGTGTTTGAAGGTTTTATGCATATGCTTTTGTTTGTAGGGGGGAAGGGGTTAAAGGTTCCTCTGAATGTTGTAAATGATTTTCACATGTTTGCCATTGCACCTTGCAAATTCTGCACTTTTTGGTTGTTGGTTTTTTGTTCTTGTAGCTTGTAGCTGTGGTTTAATGGTAATAGTTTGGTTTGTTGCTTTTCAAAAAGAAAAAGTAAATTTGCAAAAAAGTCGACCAACCTGAAGCCACTCGGTACCTAACTGAGTTATAAAATCTTCAAACCATAAATATTGGGTTGGAATTAGATCAGGGTATTACACCCAACCCAATCTGATAAAACCCCGATATCTTTCTATACGTTGAATTTAATATGATTATTAATTATTACCTAATATATGTAACTGTTAGTGTTAAACAAAAGCGTCATGCAAATATCTTTTAATATTTCCTATGTAGTTGTTAGCTTTGTTTGTATGTTCTCATTTTGATTTTACTTCGTTTAAATACAACCGCTAAACTAGATTGCAAAATGGTGTACCGAAGTTTCAACCTGGTGAACCTAACCCAACCTGTACGGTTTGGGTTGGATTGGATTGAGATTTTTCAAACAACTGGCATCGATTGGGTTGTTCAAATGCCTTCAAATCAACCAACCCAATCCGAGTGCACCCCTAAAGGACACACATGTTGTGAAACATGCTATAAATGCCACAAAGCCATGTTTGGGTTCCACACGATCATGACAAATTACATAGCAAACCTGCATGTAGCCACCTGCACGTCAAATTTATTCACAACCTTTGACTTATCAATAACTTATGCACATAGCCTTTTATTGGTCTAGCTCAAAAAGCTAGACCAATGTGCGTCTATTATTGAGACCATAAGTTAAATTCAAAAAGAAGTTCATTTCATCACGCCTAAAAGACGTTGAAAAAAGCCCACAATTATAGCAACATGACATTGCCGTTACCGCAACGACCCAGTACCTAGAGACCTGCATAGGTCCAAAACCGTTGAGTTCCGATGAAACAAGACATTCAGTTGGTAGAAAACACGGGGTCTTGATATTCAATAACCATTTTAGCAGACTTTAAACATGTTCAAGACCGAGGGACATAAACGATTTAATCTTTTGTCATTGTACATTTTGTTCAATTATAATATGAAAAAAGTATTTTAAATATTTGGTATATGATCAAATACTTTTTATTCAATTACATGTCAAAAGTAAACAATCAAATAAACTAAGAAGTTGTTTACTAACACTTTATCAGGTCATTTATTTTATAATATCATTTTGATGGACTACAATTTTATCTGGTAAAATAAGTTAGAGTGTTGATTGTTACTAGTAAGCGCCTACCGAGTAAACTGTAGACTCAAAGTGCCCAAGGTTCCCAAAGCCAAAATCTAAGTAGAAGCCTCATTCAGATTCAGACTTTGAATCTACAGTTAGGCCAGGCCCAAAACTACTGGGCTTTGACTTTATATATCACAAAAAGTCCAAGTTTGACCTTGTTTTTGTATCCTATATCTATCCTCCTTTGAACCAAAAGTCATCTTGTTCACTTTTTTTTCTCCCAAAATTGAAAAGCTCTCCTTCTTCTCCATGAACAAAGTGTTAGCCCCAATTGGGTTCCAATTGCTGTAAGTTGTTTGAAAAGTCAAAATCAAGAAAGTCAAAGTCAAAAATGAGTACAACAGCAAAGTTCATAAAATGTGTTACAGTTGGAGATGGAGCAGTGGGGAAGACTTGTCTTCTGATTTCATACACCAGCAATACTTTCCCAACTGTAAGTATCTTGTGGAACTCACTGTGTGTTGTGTGTGAGAGAGTGTGATCTTGTTAGAGGTTTGACTTTTGACTTTTTGTTTTTGAAATTGTGATGTGGTTATTTTCAAATGTATTTGGGTTTTTGCAGGATTATGTGCCAACAGTTTTTGACAATTTTAGTGCAAATGTTGATGTTGATGGCCAAATTGTCAATTTGGGTCTCTGGGACACTGCTGGTACCCTCTTTCTCTCTCTCTCTCTCTCTCTTGTGTATAAACATACACACCTACAAATTTAGGATTATGTGAGACAATGTTGTTTATGTGAAACAATATTTTTACACAGCAAAACACTGTGAAGGTAATCTTTACAGTGTTTTTGTTGTAAAAGTTTGGCTTCTTTTTACCTTCGTAGCGTTTTATTGTAAAGTTTCAAGTATAAAAATATTGTCTCACAAAAATAGTTTGGTCTCACGTGAATCTATCCCCCATATATATATATATATATATATATATATATATATATTATATGCATATATATATATTATATACATAATACATATGTGCATGCATATATATGTATGCATTTATGCATAAAATGTATAAATTGATTAAAAAAATGATTTTTTTTTATTTTTGTCATTTATTTCGAGTTAAAATAATTACACATACATGCATATATATATATATAAGGCGGTTTAGGGAAATTATAAAAATTATTTTCCCTCACAACCCCATGCACACACATGCACATAATTAACAACTCTTACACATACATGCATATATATATATATATATATATATATATATATATATATATAGAGAGATTTGGAATCATGTGAGATTAAGAGTTTTTCGTGAAACCTGTAAGATCAATTCTCAACCCTTGGATTAGATCTACAATATGACAATATGAACATTCATAAACGCCACTAGACTTCTCAATAATCACAAATTTGTCGCCGTGTAACTTTAGACCATTAGATCATTAGCTTATAAAGTTGATCAGAAAAACCTTTGGTCTCACATGAAACCCAATATATATATATATATATATATATATATACTAGAAAGGTACTCGCACAATGTAGCGAGATACATATTCATTTTAATATTTCATTTTAGGTTTTGTAATTTATTGGTATAATATGGTTTATATGGTTTTGAGAAATATAATGTTTTTTATTTTTGAATAAAAATAAATTTGAAGACATCATGAAAATTTGAAAAAATATATCGATATTAATATTAAAATAATCATTTTTTTTCACAATTTCTTTAATTTAATTTTTTATAATTTAATTTAGGTCAATGGTGAAATAATTTATTTTTGACTTAACAATAATTTTTTTATAAAGATAATGATTCTGTTAGAACTCAATGAATTATCCTAATTATATTTTAGATTTTGTATATTTAAAATTAGATATTTATCTTGTATTTGATTATGTTTATCTGTAGTTAGTTATACGAATTTAAAATGGAGTTTTAATACACAATTTACTTGTAATCTTAAATTTTAAATAATATGTATTAATACGCAGTACTTCATACATAAAGAATGATTTTTAAGAGTTTTTGTCAAATACTTTATAATATAATATATATATATATATATGTGTGTGTGTGTGTGTGTGTGTGTGTGCATACATGTCGGTCATGACATAAATCGACAAATTTTTTCCTCTAAATTCTATAGTTGTAACATGAATTTCAGATAAAAATGATCACACAGTTCTATATTTTGTTAATTATCCATATACGAAAAAATGTGTGTATATATAATGATTAATATATGGATTTTCTTATTTTTTAAGGTTATTTAATTAAAAAAATAAAAATAAGTGACCTAATATTCTCATTAGTCATTACCTTTGTTAGGATGACAATCATTGTGGTTTCTTTAAGAGCCTTTGATCAAAGGGTATCACATAGAATTAATCATCATACATTTAACTATGAATGATGGTAAACACTCGGTTTTACGTAATACCAACCTGTTTTCATAAGATTTATGAAACCATAAAATGACACTGAACCTTCGCAGTAAAACATTGTGAAAATATACAGAATACCGAACATTCACAGCAAAAACACTGTAAAGGTTTACCCTTGTAATGTTTTGCTGTGAAAGTTTAATGTTATTTTGTAATCTCATGAAAACAATTTGATCTCAAATGATCCCTAGACATATAATACATGTATAAATATGTATGTCTGTCACTCTTTCTATATTGGATAAGCTCACACTAACCCGTCAATTTAGGATCCAATTCGAGATTTTCCTTGAGAGGTATCGGGAAGGAATTGGAATGAAATAATATCGATTCAGACATTATAGACACAATAGATAAAATTGTCAGTTTTAAATGTTATTCTACAGAATTATTCTAAATACTAATTAAAAATTATATATACATATATGCAGATGAAGGATCATGTGAGAAGTTAAACATTTTGTAAGAAGGCGATAAATCTCAATATTATATATGATTACACTTCTTTAGGTGTATGATTAAGCGTCTCTGTGTTGTCAATGTAACACATGTTTAATCATATATGATTAAACTTGTGTATCATGCGTGTAATCATATATGATATTGAGACTTCTTGCTTTCTCGTAAAATGTTTAGTTTTTCGTTTGAACCTGCCTCTACGTATTCATGCAATTGTATGTGTTATGATTGGTATGATTTCTACATTTAAATGTTTTTTTAATAAAGTTTCAATTTAATCAACCTGGTTGTTCATCATCATGATTAGAATTAAATGATTCTCTATTTGCAAGTAATTTGATGGAGGCCACAACAGAAAATTAATTGGTACAAAACACCCC